TTCTAAATATAGACTTAAATGTACTTCTCATTGGGCTAAAGACATTTCTGTCCAATCTATTTCTGGCTCTCTAGACAGAAAAAATGTTCATGCTTTTTAACCCAAATCTATAGCTTTTGCTAAGACTCAAAGGTGTGAGCCTATATCCAGCTGTTTTACAGACACCTGTTACCTGCTTTTTCTACAATGTGGATTTCAGTACAGACTGGTAATGCTAATATATCTGAAACTTTTATGTCTTTTTGTAAACTAAAAAATTCATGTTAACTTCAGAGAATCGAGGGAGTCTTAAGACTTGGACCATCTCTCACACGTCAAAAGGACTCCAGATAAGTACAGTGTAAGTTTCCCCACCTGTTTATTCCTGAGGATGGTATTTCTCTCTCTCTCCTGGTCTTGGGACTCCTCTCTTTCCCAAATTACTAGGACTATTGGCCCAAAAGTTCCAAATATAAGATTTTCCTTTAGGTTCCTAAATTTTAACTTCCATCAGTAGTCTATATCTGTCTGAGCAGATTTCCACTTGGCTGACAGACACGTACAAGCATCAGCTGCTGTCTACAACATGCTCTAAATGACTGAAAGCCCTGGACTTGCTGAAGGCTGATGTGGACCAGTCCAGCCTATGTGAATGCTCCCTGCCTCTTCAGCTGGTTCAGCAAACCAGAGACTTCCGATGAATGCCCCATTGCCTGGATCCCCTCCTTGCCTTTGACTAGCATTCCAGACTTCCTGGGCCCTGACAACAACACAACAACATCCTAGTTTCAGCAAGAAGTACAGAAGAGGGTGTGCTCCCCTTGTTCCCAACAGCCTGGAATATTAGATCAAAAGGAAACTTCCTGTTATATGAGACAAAATAGCTTCCTATAGTGCCTATTGGCTTACCAAGAAAGGCAACTGTTAAAACCAAATGGACCCAGATCTATCGTAGGTAGATTCATTAGTTAAAATAGTTCTATGGTATGATGGGGCACTCAACCTGCTCTATTTAAAACAGAGAGGTTATTATATAGCTGTCAAAGAAAAATATTTCTATGTAAACCACACAGGAATCATTATAAATAACTTGGCTGTACTAAAAAAAAATGTCATTGCACAAAAGGGGACCTGAGATGAAGTAAATAACTCATCTCCATTCTCATTTCCAGGTTCCTTCTAGATGATAATTCTGATGTCAGCCATTACAAGGCCTTTGGCCATTCTACTTCTGCCAATTGCTGTTGGCTCTTTATCATTGATGCTTTAATTAAATGATGGTTCCTGTCTGGATACCTTAAGCTGATGGCTATTAGATCCTAATATAAACAGGTGCCCATCACAGAGTCAAGGATTTGAATCAGGATACAACTCAAGGGGGGGAATGCTAGAGCCATATTTACATTTTAAGTTTTAATTACCATGTTATAGAAATCCATGAAACAAAAATGTCTCTGATCTGCAAATCTCTTGCCAAGGACAGATAGTTCCTAAAATGCTGGAGGCTATTGTTTATGAGAGATAACAAACCACGTGTTTTTCATTCTCCTAAATAAGTTTGTTTGATCCATCTGTACCAGATGTGCTTGATCATGTGTGGGAGTGAGGTAAGTAGACAGGACATATGTCAGAATGTATGCTTGCCCCTGATTGGATTTGATGGGAAATGCAATAAATTTTGGGTTTTCCTTCTTAAGCCATACTTGATACTGGGCCATTTCCCAGGAACCTGGGTATGGACCTGGCCATTTCCCATCCACGTGGCCAGTTTTTAATTAAAGCTTGCTCAAACTTGGCTTTAAACTGTAGTGGTGTTCTTATTCTTGATGGGTGGGATTAATATTATGCTTAGATTATTATTATTTACTTGAGATTTACTTATTTTATGTGTATTTTGTCTACATGTATGTATGTGCACCATGTACATACCTATTTCTTGCAGATACCAGAAGAAGGTATCAGGTCCCTTGAAATTGGAGTCAAGGTGTGGGTGCTGGGAACTAAAGCTAAGTCTTCTGCAAGAGCAAAAGGGCTCTTAACCTCTGAGCCATCTCTCCTGTCCCCGGTTTTAAATGTGGGTGTTCAAGACTGAGCTTGGGTTGTCCTGCCTGCATAACAAGCACCTGGCCCAATGAGCCATCTAACAAGTTCAAGTTGCTGCTGTTCCTCGGTACTGCAAAATATTACCAAATCCATAATGGGAGCCACAACTAGGTTCACATCTCTGCTCCATCACAAAGATGTGCGAGTATATGCAATTTCCTTAACCCTTTTTGCAACTAAGCTTACAGTCTTTTAAAAAAAAAAAAAAGAGGAGAAATAACACGGTTTTATGATGTGAGGAACAAGTGAGACGATGAACATGGCGTCTGGCACACAGTCAGTGCCACTGCGGATCTATCTGGAGCGGAAAGCCAAGCTAGGAGTTAAAGTGGGAACCAGTCCAGAAGTTAACTAACGAAGAACTTTTGGGTGGCTAGGCGCATGCGCCTGTTGGCGGTCGCGCACGTTGAGCCGCGCTGGGCAAGCGACGGAAGTTACTGCCGGGAAGCCAGCGAGGTCGGTTCCGCCCGGCTCTAACATGGCGGCGCCCTTTGTCTGCTGTGAAGCGCTGCCCCCGGCCTTCTCGCGGCCGTGATGCACCTCCCCCTGTGGTAGAGTTCGGGACATGGCAGGTGAGGCTGGGCCAGCGCGGGCGGCCGGGGAGCCCCGGGAGGCGGGACGGAAGCCGCAGGGGCCCGGAGACTTGAGATGCCGGGACAGTTGTGTGGGGGAGGGGAGGCCCGGGCGGAGGGCGCCGCGGGCCGGGGAGCGGCCCGGAGGGGTGGACG